GTGGCTGCCCTGTTGTCCGTCTCTGGTTCTAGGGCCTAGATTCCCCTCGGAGCCTCTGCCTTGCTGTAACTTCCTCCCTGTCTGCCCAGGGTGTTAACAACTGTTCCAATAAATTCCTTACTTCCCAATTAATCCAACTCAGGGTCTTGTTGTGGAATATTATTTTAACCGTGTAAAGGTGTGTTACATTTGTTTCTGCTGCTTTTGTTAACAATGCAAAGGCATATTACCTTTGTCTGATTAAATAAAATGAACCTGGGGTCAAGAGGCTGAGGCAGCAACTAGCTGACAGGAAGCGGTAGGAAGGAGCTAAGTGTAGGGAGGGTTCTTTTTTTTTTTCTTTTTTTTTTTTTAAAGATTTATTTATTTATTATATAATCGGAAGAGGGCGCCAGATCTCATTACAGATGGTTGTCAGCCACCATGTGGGTGCTGGGAATTGAACTCAGGACCTCTGGAAGAGCAGTCGGTGCTCTTAACCTCTGAGCCATCTCTCCAGCCTGTAGGGAGGGTTCTTAAGTGGGGGCTGAGCAGAGGGAAGACCCGAGCCAGGAGAGAAGGTTAGCTATATGCTATTCAGCCTCTCTGAGCTAGCAGGATTTCACCTCGACCTTTGAATCCTGAGTTCTATAGAAGGATAGAGATTTAGACAAAGCTTCCTTTAGCAGCCATGACAGAGCTGGTACTGAGGGAGCAGAATTCGCGCGCCTGGCTGCGGCCAGTGTGACAGAACCGCTGCTGGTAGCTGCAGAGTTGCCATTGCTGGTTGGGACAGCAATTGCTTAGGGTGCAGCCACTGTGTTGAATGCAAACACCAGTGTCCTTGAACTGTGTCCCGTCCTCTGAAGTCCTTCAGAGAGGATTTTGAATGTTGCTAACACAAAGAAATGATGGATGTTTGTGGTGGCGGACATGGTGGCGCCCTGATTTGCAGGCTGCGCGCTGTACGTATGTATGTACTGACAGATCCCACTGTGGCCCCTGAACCCCGACAATTCCACCAACTTCACATGTCAGTTCAGCAAATATGTGTATGATAGGGCTTCTGTTTGGTTTCAATCAAGCACTCTACCTCTCAGAGCACCCTGAAACATGTATGGGGATCAGGCGCAGGCACAGTGTTAGGGCAGTAGAAGGTGACCTGTAGAGATCTGTGTTTGTGCACATTCGGGTTTTTTTCTTTTAGGTTTGTTCTCCACTGCCCCTGCTGACCCCCGACCCCCTCCCCCACTTTTCTCCCTCAAAACCTGAGTGAAGTCAATATGTATTCTGTCTGGTCCCCAGAAGTCTACGTACCAGCGAGAAGCAAAATGCTCACAGAAGGAGGGTTGAGAGGCTGGCTGAAAACGGGGACATGTCCAGGGAAGTGGGGACTGGTGGGCACCCTGTAAGTCTGAATGGCTTCAACCTTTGCTACCCGTTGGCCCCGGTCTGTCCCCAGCCATACTCAGTTTGCTGCTGGTCCCAGTGACACTGGGAATCCAGGCTGCTGGGATAGGGTGACATGGATGAATGTCTCCAGAACTCATGTGGATCCCTGAAGGGCAAAAATCAAGCTTTCCTTCAAAGTTGGGGGTGCTTGCTCAGAGGGCTCCCCCAGGGGGACGGGGGCATCATGAACTCCGCAGCTTCCTTGGAGCTGACTCAAAGATGCCATTCAACAAACCACTCCGAGGCCTGAGCTGGTGATAGACTCCAGCCGCCGCCCCTCATGGCTCCTCCGGTTTTGAACCTGCAGGCTCCCACAAACCCAGTCAGGGAAGCCTCCCAAAGGTCTTCATTCCATCACATCCATCACTTCCTGCCAGAAAGGCTCCTATGGCTCCGAGGCTGGCCTTGGGGGTGGCAATGAGACAGAGCAAGGAACAAGGTACCCCACAGGGCCCGCTTCGCCACTTTCTAAGGATTCTCTGCTCCAGCCACAGGGCACAGCACACACAGTTGCCAGGGGGGCATGACCTGTGACCGGACATATTGGCAGGGCTTCCTTCCATTGCTCCGAATGTACCTCCACCGGTTCTCTCTGTATGCAGAGGAGTTATCTGAGGTCACAGTTAGCTGGTCTTCAGGCTCGAGTCGGAGTTCCCAAGTGGGGTCTGGCCTCCACACCCCACTCTCATGACACAGAAGGCTGGTTAAAGGGAAGATGTGTGTAGGGAGGGGACAAGACAGTAGCTGAAGTGGCTTCAATGAGAGAGTCTTCTGAAGAGGCCTCAGAAGTTTTAGTCCAAGGTGACTTGGCCTCATTGCTTTGGGGCTGTGGTGTGGCGGTTCATCTTGCTGTCATCTTGACTGGATTTGGGATTACCTAGGAGACGCACCTTTGGGTTCATCTGTGGAGGTTTCCAGACAGGTTTGACTAAGGCTGGAAGACTCCTACTGAATATGGGCTACACTGTACCATGGTTTGGGGTCTTGGACCAAATTAAAAAAAAAAAAAAAGAAGAGGAAAGAAAGAAAGAAAGAAAGAAAGAAAGAAAGAAAGAAAGAAAGAAAGAAAGAAAGAAAGAAAGAAAGAAAGAAAGAAAGAAAGAAAAAGGTGGGGGAAGGGATTGAGTTGAGCACCCTCGTTTATCTTTCTCTGCTTTCCGTTTTGGGGTACGCATGCCTCACACTCCTGCCACCATGCCTTCCCCGCTATGACGGGCTGTATCCTTGACCCACAAGCCAGGGGAAGCCCTTCTTTCCTGGGTTGCTATGGGCAGACATGTTGTCTCAACAATGAGAGAAATAACCATTACGGAAGGAGCCCATGACAGATCGAGCTGTTCACTTGGCCCAGAAGCAAAGAGAGAGAGAGGAAAAGGTCAACGTCCCATAATTCCCTTCATGGATATGCCCCCAAATGACCTGCCGATTCCTGCTAGGCCCCATCTCCTAAAGGCTCTACCACCTCCTCTGTACACCACAGGCTGAGGACCCAGCCTTCATCACATGGGCCCTCGGGGCGCTCTTATCGAAACCACAGCAATGAGGCCTGTGAGCAGAAGAGTCACAACTTAACAGTCTCCAGATCTGGTGAGAAATAAAAATAATGAATGGCTATTTCGCAAAGTGTTATTTGGTGTGATAGAGTTGCTGTGTGGCTAAAGTTCACTGAGACCACATGCTTAGTTCATGCAACATCCTGGGTTCTACCACCATCTTCTCCCCCCCCCCCCCCCCCCCAGAGCTGAGGACCTAGGCAAGCGCTCTACCACTGAGCTAAATCCCCAACCTCTCTACCACCATCTCATAACTGTGGGGAAAGTTCTAGAACTAGATTGTGCTGGTATGTGCAAGCCGTGTAAGGGTTATATGGCAACTTTCATAGTGTATGTTTTAGAAAACAAGCTGAGTGTGTTGGTGCCTGTGTTCTCAGCACTCATGGGGCTGAGGCAGGAGGTTTGCTGTGAGTTCAAGACCAGTTTGACATACAGAATTCTAGATCAGCCTGCATTAAGAAAAGGAAAGAAACAAAATAAAGCCACCACCTGTCACAAGGCCATTCCATTCCTGGGAATCTGGGCTAGGGAAATAACCCAAGATGGGCCCCAAACCCATCACAGTACTATTTATTTTATTTTATTTTTATTTTTTGGTTTTTCGAGACAGGGTTTTTCTGTGAAGCTTTGCGCCTTTCCTGGAACTCACTCTGTAGCCCAGGCTGGCCTCAAACTCACAGAGATCCGCCTGCCTCTGCCTCCCGAGTGCTGGGATTAAAGGCGTGCGCCATCACCGCCTGGCCACAGTACTGTTTATATTAGCAGAGAGGGAACAATATCAAATCATCAGAGTAGATCCATAATGGTCAATATCATGTGCTGTGGGGTGTCTTTTTGTGCACTGTGAATATGTGTTGCTCTGATTGGTTAATAAATAAGCTGCATTGGCCTATGACAGGGCAGGATGGAGCCAGGCAGGAAAATCCAAAGGAGTTCGTGGGAGGAGAAAGGAGAGTAAGGGGAGACGCCAGTCACTGCCATCCAGGGATCAGCATGTAATGGCACACAGGCAAAGCCACGGAACACATGATGACATCTACGTTAATAGAAATGGGCTGAGGTTAGTTATAAGAGCTAGCTAGCAAAAAGCTTGAGCCATAGGCCATGGCCGTACAGTTCATAATTAATATAAGCCTCTGTGTGTTTATTTGGGTCCAAGTGTGGACGGGAGAGATTCATGCCGACCACAGGGCCAGGTGGGACACAGGAAAACTTCTGATTACAATCATGTACCTATTAAGTCATTTTACTTTTTTTATATTTTTATTTCTTTTGTGTGTATGGGAGTGAGGGTGTCGTGTGTGCCACAGCACACTGCGTGTGTGGAGATCACAAGACAGCTTGTAAGAGTCAAGTGTCTCCTTGCACCATAATGGGTCTCAGGGACCAAACTTGGGTCATCTGATTTTACCCGCTGAGCCATCTCCCACGCCCTTAATAAGTGATTTTTTAAAAACACAGAGAAGACACAATTCAATGGGGACAAAAAGCTCTTATCACCACGCCTGACAATCAGAACGATCCTCAGGACCCACACTTGCTGGTTGGACAGAACCAGCTCCCTCAAGCTGTCCTCTTGACTGCCACATAGGCATGCGTCATGGTATGTGTGTGCCTGTGCATGTGCGCACACACACACACACACTCACACTCACACACTCACACTCACACACACACATACAATAAATGTATTTTTTTTTTTAATTAAAGGAAAAAACCCAGGGCAAAGGTTCAGAATGCGTTAACACACCTACACTTTTATCTCTGCTTTGCAGCTAAGACACAGGGGTGTGCTTATTGGTAGAGAGGCTAATTTGGGTGGGAGGTGTTCGCTAAGCATTTCAAAGCGGAGCCTGGTCCTCTGTGGATGAGCCGGGCCCGGCCCTCTCCAAGGAAGGTCTCACTTGCAACAGTAAGAACGCAGAGCCGATTGAAGGAGTCTGGACCACAGGGTCTCATTTGCAAAGGTCGACTTTATGAAACTACTAAGAGGCAGAATAACCAGCTTTCTCGGCGGGCGGTGTTTATAAAGTTTTTATTTTCCATTTTCTTAAAAATAACATTTGCTTTCCTTTATGCATGTGTAGGAGTGAACTTGTTTCCCTAGGCTGAGTAATAGGCAGATAAAGACCACGGCAAGGTGAGGGGCCCCAGGTGGAGGCAGGTGGGGATAGGCAGGGCGTGAGGGGATGTGGCGCACAGGAAGGGGAGAGAGTGGGATGACCCACGGGATACTTGAGTGCCCATCAACGCACACACAGGTCTAACACTTGTTCAGTTTTTTAAAAGACATCTAAAATTACTGAGAGATACAATGTCAGCACTTAAATCTACAGACGGAACCCAAGCACTTGACCACAATTTTTAACTCTAAGCTCAGTTATTGCACATTAGACGGTTTAAGTAGGACGCGGGCGGTGAAGCGGGGTGCTCTGCCTGGGACTTGTTAGGGGGATGTCTTGAATCTCCTTTCGCACCCCTAGGTCCTTCCCTGGGACAACGGCAGACCAGAAGGCCCAATATGACCCAGGTGTCAAAGATGGGTTCCCCCGGTTCTCTCCAAGGGCTGTGGGCTCAGGCTTTGGTGAGATGATACCCAAAGACCCCACCCACCTACTCAGCAGAGAAGCCAGAAGCAGACAGAGCTCAAGAAAGGCCAAATGGGTGCCAAACCCAAAGCAGGGGGGCTGGAGTAAGGAAGGACTTGTACCCACCCATCGAGTGTGGTCACAACCCCTGTGGGACCCTGGGGGGAAATCCAGATGTCCCATGTCCCTCTCATCAACTTTGCCTCCTTCCAGAGCTCCCCAGGCTAAGCTCCATTCCCGGGACTCCTGGGACCTCTGAGTGATCTCTCAAGGCACATTTACTCCCTCCAACCCCACCCTGCCCTACCCTCCACCATTCCTCCCTGCACCCAGGGGCCAAGGAGGTTCCCAGCAGTTCCAGGGCCCCTGGGAGATGTGGCTCTCCTGTTATTTGACCGAACTCTTTTTAACACAGCCCTAAATCCCCTGCCCACACCAAGAGAGTGAGAGCTGGACGGAACCAGGAGGGGCTGGGCGGGCAACTTAGTCCAGGGTGAGCCCACAGGACTGACAATGATCTAACTTGTGACCTTGTTCCTGGGGAAGCCTGAAGCCACTTGGGGACTTTCAGCCCCATCAGGAACAGCTGCGGTGCCTACCTTTGTGGGGCTCAGTCTCAGTGGGGTGAAAAGCAGTAGGGGGGCTCCAGAGAAGTGCAAGCTTCTGGACCCCTGCTGGCCAGCCACAGGCAAGTTCAACCCCCTTTTGCTTTCTCCGGAACATATTTACAAAGTCAGATACACAACCAGAAGACCCAGGGACAGACAGAGCACAGCCCCCCCCCCCACCCGGGGTGGGGGTTGGGGAGCAGAGTGGAAGTAGAGGGTGCTTCTTTCTCTGTACCCCCCCCCCCATCCCAGAGAGCCTAAAATCCTTCACAGCTACCCAGGAGCATTCTGGAAATTCAGCTGGGGCAGAGGAAGAATCAGACTCCAGCCTAGCGAGAGCGCGGGAAATTTCAAGTAACTCCAGCCAGAGGAGCAGGAGATGGGGGTGAAGGAGGAGGATGGGGGGGAGGAGAAGGGGAAGTGAAGGATGGGGAGGGGGAAGAGGGGGCAGAAGTAGAAGTATGGGGGAGAAGGAGGAGGAGGATGAAGAGGAGGAGGGCCGGGAGGAGAAGAAGGATGGGGGAGGAGAAGGAAGATGGGGAGGAGAAGGAGGAGGATGGGGAGGAGGATGAAGAGGAGGAGGGTGGGGAGGAGGAGGAGAAGGAGGAGGAATGGCTGCTTCTGGAATGCAGAGGGCTGATGTGACTGAACCAGGGACCAGAGGAAGGTTGCAGAGGCCTGAGGAAGGGAGGGAGGAGGAGGGGACGGGATCAGGAGACACCTGGAGAATCAGAACTGTGTTGTGGAATGAGAAGCACTTGACGGAGCTTAGTGGCATTTCCCCCAGGAGATGACAAAGAAGGTGGCCATTCCAGGGTGGCAGAAAGGAATGGGAAGGATGATGAGGCTCTTCCCTAAAGTCCAACCAACACGCAACAAATGCCTCCAGCTGGTGCCCCAAGATGCTGGGGAAGAACCAGATGGGAGCCTTGTCCTGGAAGCCTCAGCACAAGAACCCCAGTAGCTGCCCAGCCTCCCAGCACCCCAGCACACAGGGGGCCCCCCTCCCTAGCCATCAGGGTGGGCCCAGGTGCTCTCTCTCTCTCTCACACACACACACACACATGCACACACACATACACACACGCACGCACGCACGCACGCACACGTACACGTGCATGTACCAAAAGGTATCAGAGGCCCAGGTCCAGGTAAGAAATTCTTCATCAACTACATTAAGAAATTGCCTTTGAGAGGGAGAGATGGGAAACAATAAACACACAAAACCCCCAAGGGCATCTGGGTAAGAGAACCTCCCACTGGGCCTAGAGATTTGGGGACATGGTGAGGTATGACCTCAGAGTCCAGCTGCCCAGTGTGGTCCCCTCTGGTGCACCGTTCTCTACTCATATATGCTGTGGGGCTTTAAATGGAGTTTGGGGTGCAGTTCTGCCAGGGCTATCTTGGGGACCCCATGGTTGAGAGGACTGTTGCTTTGGTGCCTCTCCTCCCAGACTGTCTTGGGGTACAGGAAGTGGCAACTTCCCACTGCTTCCTCACATAGGATCTCAGGGACATGTCTTTCTATTGGTCTGGGCAAGAGGGGACACTTCCTTAGAGGGTCAGGGAGGAGGTGGGTACACATAATGCTGCTTTCTGGTCCTCTGGTCCTTAGACAAGGGGAACCCTATCCGGGGGACAGAGGCGGCAGCGGAAAGATCTCCTAACAGGCTGCACCAAAGCTCAGATGCATGATGACAGCCCCCATTAACCACGAAATCCTCCTAGAGCCCCATGAGGCAACAGGGGCTGACCGGGTTAATCTGAACAGGTCTTGCATCGAAGGACTTGCCTTCTCCTTCCTCGCTGTCTCTGCCTGTCCTCCTGGGCTATCTCTAGTTTCTCGGGAATAGGTTGAGATAATCTATTAGGTGTACCCAACCTTTGACATTGTAATAGAGCATTGTCATCTACAAAGTTGACGCTCAAGGACTCTTTGGTGGAGTTACTAAAACAAACCTGTCTTAAATAGGTTTAGTCTTGTGTCGGGCCACATTGATAGTCGTCTTTAACCCTATGCTGTCCAAGGGCCATGGCTGGACATATCTGCAGCTAGTCCTTCAGATATCAACAGGGTAAGCCTCGCTGTGTGCAGAGCCCTGCCCATCCTCGCCAGACGATGGCCGGACTTTCACATCGCGTCGGCCTGATTTGGGGAGGATGCCTAGCTCACGGCTTCCTGCCCTCCCTCTCTTTGACCTCAGAAGATGGAGGAAGAAAGGCAGGAAGGGGCAGGGGGAGGGAGAACTGACTGAGCAGGGAGGGACGGGGTCAGGGGCATCTCATTTCGTTGATTTTGGCCTGTCAGTGTGTACGTGTGTGTGTGTGTGTGTGTGTGTGTGTGTGTGTGTGTGTGTGTGAACGTGCGCTTTGCAAAACCCACCACAAAGGAAAAGAAAATAACTACGAGGAGGAAGGGGGCCTTTGGGTGACTCACTGCCAGGAGCAGCAGCATGGATCAAGGACACATCTGTCAGCACATGACACATGCACGTGGCATACACACGCGCACACACACACACACACACACACACACACACACACACACACCAGTCCCACATGCCACACTCTCTACTTCAGTCCTCCTGCTGGAGCCAGGGTCCTTCACACTGACTTCCGGATCCATTTGCTAAGTTCGCCTGCCATCGTCCAGGTCTCTCCGGCCGTCGGCACCCTGGCCTGCCGAGGCCCTCGAGGGCCATCTACCAGATGTAGCCTCCGTCGTCTGCCTCACCAGCCTCACCCTCCTCCTCCTCGGCCTCCTCTCCTGCCTCTTCTGTCTCCTTTTCCTCCTCATCCTCCCAGCCGACGCCGCTTCCAAAGTCCCCTGAGAAGCCCACGATGTCATCTGTCGGGGAACAAGGGGAGGGCCGATAAGGAACCTACTGCATCCGCTCTCAGCCAGGGGTCCTGCCCCGGCACACATGAACCCAGGAGCAGGTCCTCGGGAGGCTTCCAGCGCCAGCAGCTCTTACCGCAGTCAGGGTTCCCGTGCATGCGTGTGCCGGTCAGCTCCAGGCCCAGCTGGTCCACGCACCAGCAGTCACCACTGCTCTGGTCACACTGCATCTTCCGGTAATAGCCGTCCTCATCACAGCTCGGGATGAAGACACCTGAGGGTTAGAACAGGAGCCCTGAGGGTGGGCTCTGGAGTCCTGTGTGTGAGCAGGGGCCCAGAGAGCCTCAGAACCTGGCCAGCCTGGTACTGACATCCCGCCTCCCCCAAGAAACCAGACCCAGACCTCCTTTCCCCAATGTCCCTAAACCACATGCTCGGGCTACTTCAAGGGTGCCATTGACTGCTGATGTTTCTTGGGATCCATGGCCCTCATCTTGTGGGACATTTTGTCCTGATCACATTAGAAAGTTTGATCCCACTCTGGGCTTATTCCAGCTAGGAGTGTAGGGATTCTCTTCCTTCCTCAGGGCCCACTTGTTCCTCTCAGGTCCCCAAACTATCCACTAGGTGTCTTCTGAGAGGTTTAGTTGGGGGATAAGAGCCACAGAGACAACCAAGGTGACATTGGGTACCCTAGAATGGGGAGCCTGAGGCACAGGGACCTGCTTCAGGGAATGGATGACAGAGTCGCCTCCTCTCCAGGGCTGGAGGCCAGTGGGCCCAGTCAGCACAGCCTTGTGGGTACTTTAGGGCTGGGTGTTCATTTAGTGCATCCGTCTCATAAACCCAGTCAAGTGACTCTCAAGGAGCTACAAGGCCTGCACCGTGTGCCTGCCTCTCAGGATCACTGTACCCTCAACACTCCAGGCTGCATGGGTCCTTTCCTGCTGGTTTTTGTTTTGTTTTGTTTGGAGACCTCAACATTTTTCCTGATTCCAACAGTGTATGTGTCTGGCTTATTATCCTCCCTTGGCACCCCCCCCCCCCCGCCCTGCCCTGCTGCCACACACACACATACACACACACACACACACACACACACACACACACACACACACACACCTACACCTTCCAAGACCAGTCCCTCAGAAAGACCTCTGCTGACCTCTCTCAGGAGGCTTGTGACCACCTGCGCTGTCCCTCAGTCCCTACACAGCAGTCTGAGTCGGGAATTCTCTTGGCGTTTTGATCTGTGTGTTGAGCGATCCCAGGGCTAGTCTGTCCGAAGGCCTTACAGGGCCAAGAACCTTGTCTGCCTGCCCATCAGTTCCCACCTAGGCTGGGCTGGTTCTCTCATCCCTCCAGGGCTTTCCATTAGAACATGAGTGAGCATCTCCCATAGACGGGCCCCCGCTCCAGTCTTAGACGCGAATCTGGTGCAATGAATCCAAGTAGATTCTCCAGCAGTGGTCTGGACAGCCATAAAGTGCTTAGACACACTCCCGGAAGGACAGCTGAGGAGACGCTTGCCCATCAAGCCCGTGAAACCAAGAAGAGCGTTTTCCTGCATGGTCCTAGGCCAGGCCCTCCTGTAGGTCCATCAGATGCTTTAAAGCAGGGCAGCTGGTATCTCCGGGTCTCAAGGGAGCTCAGGGCAGCACCCTGGCCTCCTCCTCTGCACCCCTCCTCACCTGGCTTCTTCTTGGCTGCCTCCTGGATCTGTATGCGCTCCAGCTCTGCCAGGCAGGGGGGTTCTGTAGAGAGAAGCAGTCTTAGGGTTGACCCATGGTGCTGAAAGCCCACTGAGCCCCCCTAAACTTAGAAACTTTTGTTGGGGCTTTGCAAAATAAAACACCTGGGCTCTCAGGTTTTATCAGACCACACCAGGATGGTGGAGGTATGCACTGATCCCACTAAGATCCCCAAGCCTAGGGCTCTGCTTGGTGAAAACGCCCTAGGTCGAATTAAGGGAGGCCATTACAGCTTAAGACAGGCTAAGAAGGATCCTAAGAATCCCAGAATTCTCTCTCTAGGGTTGTTCTCATTCATAGGATGAGTTTAAAAAAAAAAAAAAAAACTTTAAAAGGGAGCTGGGTATGGTGGTGCACGCCTTTAATCCCTTTATTCACAACACTCTGGAGACAGAAGCAGGTGGATCTCTGTGAGTTCAAAGCCAGCCTGGTCTACATAGATGGTTCCAGGATAGCCAAGGCCAGATAGTGAGACCTTGTTTCAAAAAAAAAAAAAACCAAAAACCAAACCAAAATCATTGTGGTGGTTTGAATAAGAATGGTCCCCATAGACTCATGTGTTTGAATATTTGGCCCATAGGGAGTGACACCATTAGGAGGTATAGCCTTGTTGGAGTAGGTGTGGCCTTGTTGGAGAAAGTGGCTCACTGTGGGAGTGGGCTTTGAGGTCTTATATGCTCAAGCTATGCCCGGTGTGGCACACAGTCCCCTCCTGCCACCTGCAGATGTAGAACTCTCAGCCCCTTCTCTACCTGCAAGACGTCATGCTTCTCAACATGATGATAATGGAGTAAACCTCTGAAACTGTAAGCCAGCCCCAATTAAATGTTTTCCTTTATAAGAGTTTACCAAGGTCATAGTGTCTCTGCACAGCGATAGAAACCCTAACTAAGACAAACACAAAACAAAACTTAACTCCCAGGCCTGAAACAAGCTGGTTGGTGGCTCATCTCTACTGTCTGAGCCCTTGGGGAGACCCTGGCCTTCCAAACCAGAAGTCTGCCTGATAGTAAAACCAAACAGTCCAAGCCTTCTGCATGTGCAGAAGGGATGGGATGAGCATCAGGAGCCTAGGAATAGGCATGCTGGAGCAGCACAGGCAGCAGGGAGGCTGGTCAGCACACCGAAGACAGACAGACTGCCCATGAGGCCTCACATCACAGAGGGATGCATGACTCCCACGTGCTGTATACCCACATTTCCTCAGTGTATGCTCACCACAGCCTCTGAGTTAGCCATAGAAAGTGATCTCACAAAGATGTGGCCACCTGTTTGGGACCCCAAAGTAGCATATAGTGGAGCCCTAGCCAAGCCTCGGCCTTCGGTGGCAGATGCTTCTCATACAGTGGTCAGGGATTTGACCATACAGGGGCCAAGGAGGCAGGCACCGGGCCCACTCCAGGGGTCAGGGAGGCAGGCACCGGGCCCACTCCAGCTGCTGGCCAGGCAGCTCACTTGCCCCTTTGAGACCACAGTTTTCCCATCATTTGCCTCGTGGCCGAGGTGATTTCTAAGCACACATCCAGCTCTGGTTCTGAGCATACACAGCTAACAAATGCCATGCGGCAGGCGTGAGGATACACCCTGTGGTCCCAGCACTACAGGAGGCTAAGACAAACAAGGGCATCACAAGTTCAAGGCCAGCCCCGGGATATAGAGTGATTTCTAAAGCCAGCTTGGTCTATAGGATAACCCTGTCTCAAAGAGAGGAAAGAAACACAAATAAAAGCCAAAGCTGAGTGTGGCAGTGTATGCCTGAAGACCCAGCATTGGGGACTACAGGAAAGGTCGGTTTCAGATACATAGTGAGTTCCAGAACAGACTGGGGTATATGAAATCTTATCTCAAAAAAAAAAAAGAATGCCTTCATGTGTGTCTTCACACAAACGATAACTTATATCATCATTTGTTTGGGGCCAAGAAGACATGCCCATCAGAAGGGGATCACTGGAAAGCTCCTGTGTCTTCAGCTCTGAGACCCTCACTTGTACCATCCCCCCTCAGGTTCTCCAACAGGCCCCCAAAGCTTCACATTCATAACTGTGTGTTTATCATATGTGCATGATGTATGTGTATGTGTGCGCGTGTGTTCGTGTAGTTGAGAGGGCAGGCATGGGCATACTGCCACCGTGCATGTGAAGAGAGTCTTTCCACCTTTACGTAAGTTCTGGGGCTGGAGCTCAGGTCATCAGGACAAATGCTTTACCCACTGAACCAGCCCTTAGCTCCCACATTTATTATCTTTCTTCATACCTTTATTTATTTAAAGGTATCCACAAGTGCACAAGCTTCAGGACCCACAAAATCCAGTCTACCTGGGACCCTGCCCAGGGAGAGAGCTAAGTGTCAGCTGTCCTGGGTTCTAATACAGCAAAGAGGTGGGTTGGGAAGGCTCTGGGCCTAAGCATGTGACTAGGAGGCAACCAACTATTATGACTACCAAAGAGAGGCTGGAGCTGGGGCTGAGGTCCCCAGACAGGAAGTCAGTGCCAGAGAACCACAGGGCCATTACTCACTCTCCCTCCAGAAGCAGAAACACCACTCGGCAGTAGAGACGCGGCCATCTTTGTAGGTATCGCAGGAGTTGAAGAAAGGGCGGATGCAGACCTCGTACTTGTCTAGGTTGATGGCCGCCAGTTCCGTCTGGTCCAAGAAGAGGTCTCCACTGGTGTCCAGCTTGGAGAACATCCAGCCGATGGAGTCCTTGCAACTGGCCCCCAGGTTCTTGTCCAGCCCTGGGGAGGAGACCGGAGTTCAGGTACGCTCCGCTGTCTGTCCAGCCATCTCGCTATCCCTTTCTCAGACCCAGACCTCTGTTCAGACTCAGGTTAACCTGAAACCTAACTTTGGGGTTCAAGAACAGCCTCTACCCCTACACAGAACTGTACCGGAACCACTTAGGCCCATTTTCTAAACCCTTCAGCATATGTTTCTTCAGTACTGGGGATCAAACCCAGGGCTGCAAGCATGCTCAGCAGGCCCAGAAAATCTTCCCTTTCCTTGGCTAACCCCCTGGAGAGACTAAGCTCCGGTGCCCACATCATATCATGGCGGAAGCCAGCCTCCCTTTTTTCCAGGTGACGCTCTTTGGGGGCTCGCCTCATAGGCCCACCTGTCTGCTGGGTCCCTTCCTGTCTCCTTGACCCCACCCCAACCCCAGGCAGAGCATCGGTCCCCGCACCACCTGCAGGGTTGGCCGCACCGCTGGCTGAGCCATTCTGCTTGGAGTTCTCACGGAGGAGCTGGAACCAGTCCCGGAGTCTGTCCCCCAGGTCGGCCAGGTCCTGTCCTGTGCAGGTCTCTGCAGTACAGAACGGAGCAGAGGTCCGAGGAGGGATGGGGTGAAGCAGCAGCAGGCCTCGGGGCTGGGCAGTGTTCAGGGGAGCAGGAGAAGGGGGAAGGGACTTTCTCTCCTCCCACCCCCTACCTCTACCCCTTGCTCTCCCCCTCCCTTCCATCTAAAGTCTGGCCAAGCTCCTAGTGGAGGGGCTCCCTTCTTCTCTCCCACTTCCCCAGCATCCTGGGAAGAGAAAAGGGACGAAGCCCCAGTGTCCTGCTCTGTATTACCAGGACCCCACAGACCCCACCTTTCCCTGGCTGGTATGGCCAATTGTTCCTTCCCATTCTGCAAACTTCCCTACAGTCCTGAAGGCTGTCCCGGTTGCCCAGCTAGGCCCAACACCCCGGGCCTAGCCATGGCTAGCCATCCGGATTACCTGACTTGCCGTCGGTCGTGGACGTAGTAGCCTGCTCCGTGGGACAGGGACAGGGGCCCTCACATCTCACTGCCAGCTGCTTGCTGCTCAGACAGGCCTGCTGTTCCAGCTTACACTGCACGAGAGAGCTCAGGCTAGGTGACGGGGGCTCAAACTATGGGTCCTGCAGCCAGGGGCCCTGAGGGTTTCTATCACTCTGGAAGGAAGGACTGTGGGGTTTTGTGCTTGCTAGGGACCAAACATCAAGGCCAAGGGAGGCCCAGGGGGGTTGTGCCCAGTGCCATGAGCTGGAGGTGGAAACCAGGTCTCCTGGACCTTTACTGGTTTCTGCCCACAAGACACCTTGTCCTCTCACATGGGATACAGCTTTATTCCTCCTCATCATCTGCCCTCCTCTCTTTTCTCCTCCCAACTCCTCTCTCCTGTCTCCTTCGATCTTCTTTGTAAGCTCCATGGTTCCCACATGCAGTCTCGTACCTAATGTCCTTTCTCTCCTCTCTCTCTTCCCCACATCACCCTGTGACCACAGCCCCTCAGCAAGGAACTCTCGCATCTATACCTATGCCAACCCAAAGGCTCTCCCCAGGGCTGGCGAGATGGTCAGTGGTTAAAGGGCTTGTTGTACAAGCACGGGGACCTGAGTTTAGATGCCGAGAAATCATATAAATACCAGGTAGGCATGGGGGCCGACCTTAACTCCAGCCTCAGAAGGCAGAAACAGGGAATCCCCCCAGGACAGTCTGACTAAAAAGACTGGCAATGTCACGGGACTTTCGGTTTAACTGAGAAACCCTAACCCAAAGACTAAGAAGGAAGAGCAATGGAGAATGAGTCCCAGCATCAACCTGAGCATGCGTGCGCGCAAGCACGCGCACGCATACACACACACACACACACACACACACACACACACACACACACACACACACACACACAGAGAGAGAGAGGAAAATAGGAGAAGAAGAAGAAGGAGGAGGAGGAGGAGGAGGAAGGGGAGGAAGGGGAGGAAGAGGAGGAGGAGGAGGAGGAAGAAAGGAGGGGGGTCTCCTCAACTCCACGCTAGCTAAGCAGCCCTAGCTTCTCTAAAAACATTATTAACCAGCACCTACGCTTCCCTGGAATTCTTAAGTTTATAAAAGTGCTTTCACAAATATCTTCTCATTTATCTTCTCAAAATTCCACAAGGTAGGAGTCTGCTCCCTCCCAAGGTTCTTCCCTGCGCCTTCTGGTGGAGACTGCCCTGCCCACACCGCCCCCTGCTGGCTGGTGAACGTCAAGACCTCGGCGTGGAAGTCCTTTCTTCTCCCCAGCAAAACTGACTGACCATAGGAGCTCCCTCCTTCCATCCAGGGCTCTGAGCACTTGTGTGAGCATTTCCCTGGCTTAGTCCATGGGCATTACCTGCCCTAACATCCCTTCACGTCTCTTCCCTGCCCCTCACCTGCCCAAGGTCAGATCACCCTGGCCAGGGCTGAAGGGCTGCATTGAACACAGTGACCGAGCCCCATCTTCATCCGAGGACCTCTTCAGGAGGTCAGTCGGTGGCCCCTCTCCCCGCGGCATGGAGTACCCCCCACCTCCGCCTCACACGTGACCAGGGCTCCTCACCACCGAACTGTAGGTGTGTCCATCAGAGCCACAGACGGAAGCAAGCTGGGTCATGTGACAGGGCTTGCAGGCGGAGTCTTTGTTTCCATGGAATTTCAGAGCCGGCTGTTTGATCCTGTGAGAATGGATGGGGAAGATGTGGGGATGGAGGGAAAGATAAGAGAGCCGGCAGGAGGTCCCTGAGACCCCTTCTGACAAGAGTCCACTCCAGCCACCTACAGTAGACTGTCACCCATCCTGCCCATCAGACCCAGCTCCTAAGAATGGGCCAACTGGGCAGGACATGGACTTTTTCAGGGAGCAAAGAGAGGTCTGATTGCAAGAGGGATCCACCAAAGCAGAGGTCATGGGCTACACCTTGCACACCCAGTTACTTAGTCTAACCCCCCAGGGAGTTACTGTTGTGTGTTTCATTAACATTTGCAAAATGGGAGAGTTGGCATAAAACCCCCAAACGTCCCTCAATGCCGCCTCCTCCATAGGCCCCAGAAACTACAGTCTTCAATATGTCGTGAAATCCCCACATGTCAGAACAGGGGAGTTCAGATGGTCTGGTCTAACTTGTTTGTCTTAGACACACAGGACCCCCCATCAGAGAAGAGCTGTGCCTCCCTAGGTCCTGTGTTTGGTATGACCTCTCTCTCTCTCTCTCTCTCTCTCTCTCTCTCTCTCTCTCTCTCTCTCTCTCCCTCCCTCCCTCCCTCTCTTCTTCCCTCCCTTCCTCTCTCTCTGTTTTGACTCATTTATGGAGAGCCAGTTGCCATAAGGCTGAGGGCACCCAGACCTTCCTAGGGAGCCTTCCGGTGACTAGGAACTCACACCTCCAATCAACAGTCAGAAACAAGAGGGAAGGAGGCATCCAGCCCCAGCTTTGGCTGCATGCCTGTGGAACTCTGAGGTCTGCACTTTCGCAAGTATCGTCTCCTCTGTCCTCTGACACCAAAACATCTCTCCAGGTGGGAATCCGTTTCCTCCCAGGTTCTTTCATTGTCTTCTGGAGACCATGTCTTCCTGCCCACACTGCCCCCTGCTGGCTGGTGACCATCACAGACCCTGAGCCAGGACCAACCAAACCAATAGAACCAAACCTGGGTGTCCTGACCCTCGGAAACAACCTGATCACGTGATCTTGTTCTGAGCCACTCAACGATGAGTGATGTGTTCTCCAACAGTAGATGCCTATTACGTAAGGAGGGGGGATCGTCGAGCCCCACCGTCTGGGCAAGACACCCCCTCTGGGGCTGCTGGCTCCTGTCACTCACCTGTGCTCTAGCTTCTTGCGGCTGATGCACATGGCCCGCTGGTAGCCTTGGGCGATGCACACCTTGTGGCGACTGCACTTTACCTTCTGGCAGGGGTCCTTGGTGGTGTCCAGGGCTGTGGGGACACAGGGATGGGACACTGACCACCTAGGAGAACCCAGGATCCCCAGTCCAACTGCAGACCCCAGAGGTCCCTCTCCCCAGCAGCCCTCAGTAACCAGAGTTCAGGACTTTGAGTCCTGGGCCCAAGGTGCCTGTCTGTTCAAAGAGACCAAGAGCTCTTCCGTGCCCATGGGTGTCAGACTCCTCCCACAGACACCTGGGAGGGACACGCTACCTTCATCTCCTTGCTGATTGTCTTCCCAGCTCTTGATGTAGTCATCCTAGGAAGGGAGAGAGGGATGGAGAGAAAGGAAGGGTCCCATCACATCTCAGGGCTAAGGCTTGACGGCAGGGACCAGGATGGGACCTGAGGCCTGGACCACTATGGTTTCCATGGCAACTTCAGGTGCCCACCCAGGCACTGCCCATAGCCTCCCCACACTCGATACCCCTTCCCAGTCTCTCCCACACTTCTCTCCACCCCACGCTGGGAAGAGAAGACAGCCGGGGTGAGCAAGGCCTGGGTTGTACTCACTTCGACTTCCTGGAGACAGGACGCCGTGAAATCCACAGGAAATGAGCAGGAGAAAGAAAGAGAAAGAAGGAGGGAGTTCAGTGTGAGGCCCACCCTCAGACCATGAGTCCCAAGGCACCCCTGGGCCGCCTCTGGTTGTGTCTCTCGGCCCAGTCCCCCAGCAACACCGCTTGGAGGCCAGTGTTCCCCCATCTTCATCACAGAAAATCTGCGCTCTGGCTAAGCTGTAAGGTTAGGCCCGTGGTTTTGAAAGGGGATCACAAACCCGAGGCCAAGCCTGGCCCCGCCGCCAAGGCAGATGTCTGAGGGGGCTGCACTGCCTGGGAATGGTGTTTCTCGTGCCTCTGCCCTGGGTATCTGGGAAACAGCACCCAGTTTCTGCCTGCAGCCCCTTCTTTGGCAGGCACTCTGCTATCACCTGCCCACCCCGTGAGGGAGGTGTGAGGAAGAGCCCTCTCTTCCAAGCTGCAGGAAAGCTGGTTTTTGCTCCGAGTTCCTTCCTTACAACAGAGCCCAGATGGTGCACACTGGGATGGGGACATCAGCACCAGTGGTGACAGCTTCCCTGATGATCATGGACCAGGGAACCCGAAAGATCCTTCTAGGTCACATGAGCCAGCCCTTCATGGGCGGAAGAAACAAGGACATTCAGAGATGGGCAATTAGCCGATTCAGATCACACCTTCCCTGAACCAGATCTCTGACGACCGGCATAGCCCTCTCTTCCCACTACATCACAGGGTCTCTGAGACCCGTTCTGTTCCAGACCATGGCCTGAGGACCCCAACCTGGCCAGAGAGGAAGCTTCCTATCTACCTCCCTTAGCTTCTTCCCTTTGCCCTTCGGGGTGGAGACACTTGTTGAGAACCATCGAACAGCTTCCGGGGTGTCTGGAAGAAACTTTGCCAGGCAGGCAGGAGCAGCTTCTGGGCCCTGGAGGATATTAGTACTGAGAGCCAACCACCACCCTTCTCTGCACGGGACACTGGTGAGAAACCACATATAGCTACCTGCAACCCATCCTTATCTTTGCCATACCTCTGTCAGAGATGTGCAGGGGTAGGGGTGGCATGGGCCTGGGGTTTAGCTGTTATGCCCAGGAGAAGAAGGCATGGGGCTCTGGTATCAGCGGGTGGTACCCCAGTGGGTACACAATGAAGAGATGAGGGCTTTGGAAGCCTCCTCTGGAAACTGGCAGGCAACGGGACAGCAGGGATGAAGGCTCCCAGGGCAGAGCCAAGAAGGCAATAGTCAAAATAAATGGACCATTCATTCAGGCCTACCTAGGTGCATTCATGTATGCCTAGGGGCACGTGTGTGTGTGTGTGTGTGTGTGTGTGTGTGTGTGTGTGTGTGTGTGCAGCCGTGTATGCACATCCATCCTCCTTACTTGTATGAGTATGGACTTAAGCATACAGATGTGCAGCACATAACCATGGGGGCACTTAAGGCCAGCCACCAGTGCCAGATGGTTAGTATCCAGAAATGAAGTAGCAGACCCCACTTCTGTGAACAGCCTCCAGTTTTCACACTCAGCACAGCCTTCCTGCCTCTTCCATAGATAGGGAAGGTATTAAGAGATGGGTGGGAGAAGAGGGAGGGGCCCGAGAGGAACAGGCTCCCCGGGAGGGAGGGTCTGGCTCTTAGGATGCCTCTGCCTGCCTCTCTTCTTCTCTGTGGCTCTCCCATCTGGCCTCTCTCCTACCCCTAAGGGGCTCTCCTCACCCTCGACCCCACAACATGCCCAGTCAGCCAAGTGTCTCCCAGCTCTTGGGCTCAGGGCTTGCTCTGAAGGCCACAGGATGAATGCCACCCTCTATCCCCCACCTGGCCTTTTGCTGGGGCCAAAGGATGACAGTTCAGTTCTAGCCCTTTTCCAACAGCATCTTGGGCGTAGAGGTCCTCTGCTGGAATCCTGCTTTATCAAAGATGGGAAATGGGCTGAGAATAGCCAAGTAGCTGAGGCTAGCCAGGATTACCAGGTCTGAGGCAGAAGTAGGCACCAGCCTCTTTGGGCGGGAGGTGTGGCTGTCTCCTGATGTTCCCATTCTTTCCTGGGAAGAGGGGTGGGGCTCTGGTTGTAAAGTGGGAGAGGGGAGGCATGGTGTTGCATGTCTATAATTCCAGCAGTCAGGAGCTGAGGCAGGAGGAGATCCAGTTCAAGGGTAGCCTGGGCTACATGTTGAGATCCTGTGTCAAGCACAGAGGACGCTATGATTGGCTGGGATTTGGGAAGCAGGTGTGAGTTGGCTGTCCTTGACCGTCAAGATCTGTGCTCTCAACACCTGCCTGCTCCAATGTCGCAATGGGCAGGGCCTGAGGTGATGGATGATCTGCTATGATCCTCCCACTCGGGGGCGCCCACTGAGGGCTTTGGAACCCACTCATGTACTTCAGCTGAAACCCACTACAGCTAGACTGTAGATAGAAGCCTTGGGACTCGGTACAAAGTGACTTTTTAAAGCTTAAGAATGTCTGATTAGAAACTCAAGTGATGGTGGGGAGGGCTTTTAAGAATCCACCCACGCCATGCCCCACCCCAAGGAGGGGGTAGCCTCCATGCTGACCGAGGACAGAGAGGGACAGAGGAGGGCCTTCTGGATAGGAGTGACATTCCAGAATCCAGCTAAGCCCTGTAACCCCACTGCCATGCACAGTTGGGGAGGGCCTGGAGTCCCTTGCATCTCAGCCCCTCACCCCTGGGAAGGCAGAAGCAAGTAGCCAGGCGGATGAGAATAGAAGGCCCTGCAGTTACCCAGGGTCCCAGCTTTCCCTTGCTAGGACCTTGGGAACACTCCTGGCCTCTCTCAGAGGAACACGCCTCACATCGAAGCTGTTATGTCCACAAGAAACTCAGATAGATGTAGGTGCAGAGAATGGGAACAGAGATGAAAGGTGAGGAGCCCTTGAAAGCTGAGGAAAGAGGGGTCCCTTCTGGAGAGCAGAGTCCAGTGGGCATGGGAGAAGAATCACTCCCCATTGGGGTCACAGGGAAGGGGTCAAAGGCATCTTGCAGGCAACATGGGAATGGTCGTTCTGGGGTAGACCTGGGGAAACACTGAGGTCAGATGTGGGCGGCCAGTACCATCGACGAGCTGAGGAAGGTGACTGTAGCTAGGTGGGAATTACAGCCTTCCTGCGACGCGTCTATTTATGGTACCCAAGTGGGCTCATTAGAGGCTGTGAGACATGACCAGACAAGGGCACCTGGGTCCTCTTGGGAAAGAGGATGCCCTATGGCTCTGCTACAATCCATCCTCACCTGACAGGGTTTTCTGAGCCTTTCTCCAGTGCTCTGGAGCAGGAGCCAGAGCAGAGGGGAGATGGATGGGTACCCAGAGTTCTGGACTGATGGAGAGACATGCCTCTCTTCCCTGGCTAGTACACTCAGTAGGATCACGTTGGACAGGTGAGAAAAACTTCTGGAATGTATGAATACACCATGTTTAAAAAGAATGGTGCTTTTAGGCTCAGCAGTTAAGAGCACTGGCTGCTCTTCCAGAGGTCCTGAGTTCAATTCCCAGCACCCACATGGTGGCTCAAACCATCTATAATGGGGTCTGATGCCTTCTGGCAGGCATACACGCAGATAGAGTACTTATATATAAAATACATATATTTTAAAAAAGAATGGCGATTTTAAAGTAAACTCCCAGGCTAGAGCTATAGTTCAGTTGGTAGAGGGCTCACCCAGCGTGCTGGACGCCCCAAGTTCTATCCCGGGAGCATAGAAACTGTGTGTGGTAGGTAGCTCACTTACGATCCCAGCATTCCAGAGGGGGTAGAGGCAGGAGGATCAGAAGTCCAAGGTCATCTTCAGCTACATGACAAGTTCAAGACTACCCTGAGGCATAGGAGACCCTGTCTCTTTAAACGAATAAATAAGAAATAAGTCCTTTCCAAGTACTTTGCAGCAACACCATTAAAAATTGAGAAGATCACTTTTAGGGTTGTAGGGAAACAGAACAACTGGGCAGAAGATGATCAGAGCCAGACCTGGCATCGCTGCCATTCCCTGCCTGGAAGAGAGACACAGGGGGAAAGGCTGCGAGCCAGGAGTATGTCCTTCAAAGACCACTCATCCACAAAGACTTGGATCTCTCTCTCCCCCTGCTCATCCCAAGCCCAGGGTCACAGGAGGGAGAACCGTGTAGATCTCCCAACACCCAAGTACCATTAGGGATTGCTGGAGTCACGTGAGTTGGTTCTGGTCAAGGTCTGGACAGCCTGCAGGCTAGGGCTCAAGTCCATACTCCCTCCAGATGTGTATCTTCTGGTACTCTGCTTCCGCCCGCTGATATCTTCACCTCCACCAGAGCCCGGGGGAAGGAAAGAGCAGCCATTCTGTCTGAGGGAGCTTCACATACTACAGGTGGAATGCCACACTGCCCTCTCCAAGCCGCCTCACTCCCTTCCCCACCTCCTCTGCCTCCCCTGCCACCCTCGCCAGTCCACACCGGTCCTTCAAGACAGCTAAACTTAAATCTCTGCAGAAACCCTGGCGGCTCTGCATCCGCCTTCCCCAGGCCAGTGGCCAGCGCAACCCCCCCTTTTTTTTTTGATCATGCGCCCTTTTTACTACCAGGGCAGTTTGCGTTCATTTATTTAGAAGGGTGGATGGACAGACAGACAGACAGACAGGATAAGAGAAAAAACATTCCTATCAGAGTACTAACAAGATGTTTCCTCTGCGGGTTAGGGATGCAGAAAGCATTTAGCATCTTTTTGTTCTCCCTCCACCCCCCACCCCATCTTCAAATTTTTCTTAACAAACATATATTGCTTTTATAGGAAAGGGGGGAATCACTGTAAATGTCACATTTTGAAACCTTTCCCTGGGTCCCTGACACCTCCAGAAGGTTCATCTTTTCATCTGTGTCTGACCACCTAGCCCAGCGTCCACCCAGGGGTCTCTCAGCAGGCCATAGCTCTACACTGCTAGCTGCCTTCTCCACTTGGCACGTGTATTCACGGCTGAGCCCAGACCAGCTAGCTGTCTATCAACCCAG